GTCTTTCCACAAAACAGAAACTGTCCAGATGAGCTGATTGACCATTAGTGGATAACCTCATAACTTGCTTCTGCATTCACTGGCAACATGCCGCGACTCAGAACCAATCTGTTAGCATAGCCTGCAATAAATCTAAAGAACACATACTGTTGTGTTTTTACTGCAGAGGAAATTGACTAATTCTTACAGTTCTTATTGGCATCACAATTTTATTTTATTTTATTGCTTTAGACGGCAAACCACACTTTTTAAATTTTATACAAAATATGCAGACTATTGTTGTGAGATCATTTTGTCTGTATTCACAATGTGGATAAAGGTCATTCTGCAGTGCATTCCACTCCTGCGACAAATTTGAAATGCTAACCACATTTTTAGTAAGACTTCAAAACATGACAGAAGCTTAAAGGAGCTCCCAAAAGAAAATGATAAAATCCTTCATTAACTTAACATTCCAGCAGTACTTGTGGCACTCTTATTAAGTATTCCAACATTTGCAGAGGAGCCCCAAATGGCAGTTGGCTGCCTACTGAGATGTTCATGGAAATGCAGTTAATTCAAGGAGAACAGGACGCGTCTTATCCCTTTAAAACGGCATTTCTGCAATTCAAATAGGTCCAGTAAATGTTATGGAAAAACTATTCTGTCTTAAGCTTCGAGGTTTGTTCAAAATGTGAAAACAAAAACTGAACTTTTGCACAAACTATGAAATAAGTCTGTTAAAATGTATTATTTGAAAAAAGAAATGTTTTTTGTTGTTGTTTTTGAGTGGGTGGGAGGTATTATTGATGCCGTGGGTGATGGGACTGAGCAAGTACAAACAAAAAAACAACAAAAAATGAAAGTCATTTAAAAAAGAAACTCTGGCCAAGTAAAACACCATAACTCCCTCTGCCAAACCAAAATGCTATGATGCATCGTCCACACCCAACAGCGTGCTTCCACATCCAGTCAAAAAAGGACAACATTTCCGCCTGATTACCATTTTAGCCTGGAGGATGAGCGAAAGTGAAAAACAACAAAAGCAGGAAAATTAATCTACACATTCATTCTGCCAAACATTTCAGTATCCCTTTCGTCTTGGCCATCATGGATGAAGGCAAGAGCAGCAAACTTTCTAAACTTGCTGCGCTCCATCTGGAGTCATTGTAGGCAGCACTTTTCTCCGAGTGCTGGCAGGGTTTACTGTCATTCTGCTTTTTAAATAATGAACATCCGGCTTGCCATCCACTGCAAACTGCCATCTTGTGCATTAGGGCAGGGGAGAGAGAGAATGATGGATATATGTGTGTATATATAGAGAAAGAGATATGGTTGAAAGATTACAAGCAGAGAGGGTTGGACAGGAAGTTAGAGGTGGATGCTATAAGAGCAAAACATTAATGGGATGCCAGGAAGGAATAATATATATCTTTTTAATTGACAAGAATTTGTGCCAGTCACTAACACATTTAAAAAAAAAAGGGATGTTTGGATGGATGGATACATGACGTTTTTAAAGTAAAAGCTTGGTTTAAGTTACACATTAAATATTAAGTTATAAGCCCGTTTTAAAAATATTGTGTGAAGTATCTTGATTTGAACCGCATTTTTGAGAAACCTCAGCCTGGTTTCACTTTTTTTTTTTCATGAAATGAATGTTGTTATATTGGTGCTGTTGTGTCTGATAACAGCTCTCAACAATAGTTTTTATCTGTTAGATTGGTGTTTTTGTTGATGAGCTGACTCAACATCGCAAGAAAATATAGGACGTACAATTTCTGTAAATTCTGAGTGTTTACAGCTAAATAACCAGCCCTGCAGACGGTTTTTTTTAAAACATCAGTTCAAATCCCGACTGGGACCTTTCTGGGTGTAGTTTGCATGTTCTCTCTGTACATGCGTGGGTTTTCTCCGGGTACTCCAATTTCCTCCCACAGACTAAAAACATGCATGTTAGACTGATTGGTAAATAAATTGTCTCTAGGTGCGAGTGATAGAGTGAATGGTTGTTTGTCTTGTTTGTCTCTATGTGTCCCTGTGATGGACTGGAGACCTGTTCAGGGTGTCCCCCACCTCTCACACAGTGATAGCTGTATATGGGCACCAGTGACTAGAGCTGTCATTTCTAACCCAAACCCAGAGCCCGGCCCCGCCCGACCCGGATTCGGACTAGTCTGGGCCATAATAATGTGTGCGAGCCAGGTCGGTATTGGGTTTTTTTATTGCATCAGGGACGCACATGGCCGACGATCCAATATATGCAAACATGGCTTGCCATACTACACCTGCTGCACGTGACCATTTGACCGCGCGCTGACCGGCCAGTTCAAAGAGGTAAAAAGTTCAGTTAAGCTTCAGATGGACCACTGCCAGTGATCCATCAGCCCAAATGGATGTTCATTCAGCCGCTGCACTCAGCGGACGTGTGTAGCGCTCAGCGGACACACGTGGCACTCATTGGACACGCGTGGCTGTCCATCCAAATAGGTGAGATCACAAAATACCTTACATGTCAGAGCAGGGTCCAATGCAGGCAGAAGCAGGGGAAGCATTTAATGCGCTTTGATGGTTCCTCAGCTTCAAACTTCTGCACCTTTACTCAGCCGCGCGCATCTGCCAACCATTAATAACAGTCGGTGGTAAGCTTGATTAAAAATGTCGGGGTGGGTCCGGTTCGGACCTATAATTACTGTTAATTCGTCAGATCGGGTGGGGTTCGGCGATGATGGCTGTGGGCTGTGTCGGTTCAGATTATTTGGACCCGAGTGCAACTCTACCAGTAACCCCTGTAACCCAGAAAGGAAGAAGCAGGTAAAGATAATGGATGGATGGATGTTTTCTGCCAAAGGAGAGCTCACATGTACAGCTTTTGTACTCTTGAGTAAGGTTGAAAATTCCAACTTTGTGACTATTTTGAGAGAAAACATGATGCAAAACTTATTTGAACACATTTTAAACATCCAATAAAAAGACGCCAAGCCTCTGTAACTTAAGCAAAGTTGAGAACCCTTGTGAACAATGCAAGACTGGAGATCCCACTATGACTTGCTGTTTGCCAGCTAGTTGCTAATAATTAGAGCCCCACGAGAAACTAACTCAAGGGATACCAGTTAGATCAAGGTCCAAAATGTCAAGATGTCATTTTCAGAAAAGGTCTTGCAAGTTGCAGCAAGTTGATGCCATGGCAAA